AATCCTGTTGTCATTCTCACTAGTATGGTAAGGCAGTAATTACATTACAATTTTGTGCTGACCCTGGCACATGATCTCAGAGTGACTCAGCTTCAGAGCCCTGCAATAGAAAATAAAAGGACATACTCTGTAAACATTTTCAAGCACAATATATAGACCCGTGAGTGAAATGATTTAAGTAATGGTTATTTATAGTAATCTGTTATTTCTTGGAATCGAGCAAATATGGTTCATCTCTCTAATAATAAAGTTATTTCCCCATTAAACATGGGTGGGTGGGTGGGTGGAGGGAGAGGGAAAAAGAGGGGTGCTTGTCTTATAATTGAGTACAAGGTGGCAAGGGGCCAGGAAGCTGCTGTGGCTCTGGCCTGACCTTGCATTGGGAAGCTGCAGCTGCTGCCTGTCCCTTGCCTCTTCATTTCTGCTCCCCACTTCTTCCCTGTCTCCCTCTGCTCTGCCCCACTGGCAGGCTCCATCCCTGTTGCCACCTGGGGCAAGCTGCCTGCCCCCTTACAGGGGTTGTCTTACAGTCAGGGTTGTCTGTATTACCTGGATCCAAGTCATTAGCCATGATAGTCTGAAGTCATATAGTAGGCAGGGTAGATTTTCACTTTATATCCAGTAAAACTGTCCACACAAGTAATCATGGTCTTGCTTGAGACTTCAGAGCTTTCTGTATTATGTGAGTTATTAAGGTGTGCATGTATACGCTGCTGAATACTAATTGAGTATCTGTGAAAGATGCATCTATACTGTAAGGTTTCAGCTTACAATTAATTGTTCCTGCAGTATGTTTTAGCATGTATCCATTCTGAAACCTACAAGTGTGTGACATTTTGAATTAAAAATATATAAATTAAAGGAAGATGTGATTAATCTGATGTATGAATTGTAAGTATGTTCCTTAAGATTAGTGGAAGTAAATCACAAGTTCTAACTTGACTTATTTGTAATCACAGACAAGAATTGTGAGAGGGTTAAAAGCCTAGTGACCTTTTGTGGCCATAAACGGTCAGAAAACATAATTATATCTACGAAATAGAGTTATCAGTTTGGCACTATCTAACTGAGGGCATATCAATCAATAATTTATGAAGATGTATCCTTTGCATTTTCTATGTAAATATAAGTGCATTTTTTGTGGCTAGCATTTATTGCACAGAGCAATGGAAATGTCTGTTAAAACATGGGTTTGAATGGAAGAAATAACCAGTTGTATGAGTTTAGAAACCCCTGTTCCAAATTTTCAGTTAATTTTTACTGTCTTTAAATCAGTGAGACCCCTTTGATGGTAGCAGAACCATTTCACAGCAGGTTAAGTGAAACTAGTATCTGGTTCTTTCCTCTTGAGGTTAGATAATGACTTGCTGTATTTGTCCAAGCAAAGCAGTAAAACCTCTGTGTGCTCTTAGACCCATGTGCCCAGAGGTTAGTAGATAGGCAGATCCCTTCTCCCCCAGCTGCTCATGGCAAGTGGCTATGCAGTAGGCATAACTTTGGTTTTCTGCTTTGCAACACAGCCAGGTGCTGCTGAACAGAGAGATATTGGTGGCACAACTAATTTCTGGTATAGGCCAGCAGCATATTACTAGTCCCTGCAGAATGTCTGCATAGTAAAGTGAAGTTGTGATAGCAGTACAGGTGGGGAAGCCTGAGCTAATTTCAGTCTTCCTAACACTGGTAACAATAGCAATTAAGACACAGTTGCATCAAATTCAGCATGTTCTGTAAAAGTGCACTTGGGACTTGTGAATATGCATTTGGTTTGCTATCTGCTGCTGACAGTTGAGCCACCACAAC